TTCTGGACTACGAAGTAGCGTATGGAATGCACGTTTCTTGACGAGACATCAACAAAGCTTCCTGAAGTTAACTCGAAGCGTTTCCTTTTGGTTCAGTTCTTGACACTCCACTATGTATTTCCGTGTAGTGATTGGCTTCTCAATGCTACAGGCAGTATTTGGTAAGTAGCAGCGTGGTCTTTGTTTGTTACTAAACTAGTAACATACCACAACACATTCAACAAGGACATTGTCAGATCTCACAGTCATAACACAGTCTGCAATTGACTGATCACCAAGCCATGTTTAATTGTCTTTCATTCGGTTCCAAGTGTTTATAGGTGATATTGGCTTTGGTAATGTTAGGTTTTTATTTGTCATATAATTTGGAAACACTACAGCTGCTAGCATCGGATCATCCTGGATGAGTTTTGATGGATCAAGGATCAATTTTAAAAATAAATTTTGGGATCAGGGATCAATGCAACAATGCTAATCATACCTGCGTATTTGTTACTCCTCATGATAATGGAACAATTAACACAAAGCCATAGGTTTTAAATATCTCTTTTTCGATGATTTTGTGGTAATTTCCATGAATTTCAATAAAGGTCTTCAAGATTGTCCGTCCGCAGTGGTTGGTCTTGCAGACCCTAATATCATACCAGACAGTAGTTTTACAGCGAGCACGGAGCTGACGGCTCAATATGGAGCCGTCAAAGCTAGGTTTACTTCTGATCGTTGCTGGGAACCAAATGGGAATAACAAGGCTGATGATTATCTACAGATAGACTTGGGTAAAGTGTTTGTTATCTGTGCTGTGGCTACAAAGGGTAATGCAAGACCAATATCTGAATGGACAGAAGAGTACAAGATATCCACATCAGTAGATGGTACAACGTGGTCTTGGTATCCAGATAATAACGCTGTCCAGGTAATTATCTATAACCGTATGTATATGATTGTTGTCTCATCATCACTGGTGTAATCAAACCTACAATTAAACTATGATTGTTTTGTTCTAAGTAGACATTTGTTGGTAACACAGACAGTAATACTGCTGTTAAGAATGTTCTTAATGCTCCTGTCTTGGCAAAGCTGATAAGATTTACACCAACAAAGTGGAACAACTACAAGTGTCTACGAGTTGAGCTTTATGGCATTGAATATGATGGTAATCATCTTTAGCTTGAATACTGACTTCTTATTTTGAAAAAGTCTTTTATAAAAGACGCGTTGAGACTTAATGTTCTGGTGCTTTCATATATTAATGCTGTGTATAAAATTCTAAATCCCCCTTTATCAACTTCTTAGTTTTTAGTTGCAAATCCTACACTGTTGGTGTTGCAAGTGTTGCTAAGATACCAAACAATAAGATGACATCCTCATCCAATTACAATACCAGCACTCCACCATACAATGGCAGGCTTGGTTACARTGCAGGGTCGTCATGGTGTTCTGCTACGTTAGACTCTTTTCCATACCTACAAATTAACCTGAACACACCTTATGTCATTTGTGGTGTTGCAACACAGGGTGACCACATGTCCAACCAATGGGTGCAGGGTTACTATGTACAGACATCAAGTGATGGCAGGYCATTCACTGACTACAAACAGAATAACATTGTTAAGGTAATGTTATCGTCCTCGTATCGTCATCAAAGACAGTAGATTGAAGTTTTTATGAAATCCGCTATATCGCCGTGTTTCATTAGACTCTTTAAATTGAGTGATCGTTATTGATTTAGAATACTGAAGTATTCTTTTATAACAATAGGAATTTGCTGGTAACATTGATCCCAATACAATTGCTCAAAACCTGCTGTACGAGGGAACTGTTGGTCAGTACGTCCGCATACGACCTAAGAGTCATTATGGATCTACAAGCTGTATGAGAACAGAACTGTACGGTATACGACAGACTACAGGTACCGCTATTGTAATTTGTTATACTCAAACCAATGTCACCCCACAAATAATCTTTTCCAGTAATGTCCATCTCGCTAGTAATCTCGTCACCATCAGATGTCCCGATGATTTATTTTTTGACAACCAATCACAACTTGATCAGACCATATTGCCCTTGAACTACTTTCGCTTCATTGCTCATTAAGTATGTTTTCTATCAAATTCAGAAATGGTTATTCAGCGAAAGGTATAAAATTCCCGTGATGCCAACTTCACTTCCTTCGCCTCCATCGATTAAATGTTCTTTTCTTGCTTGAAGTAGATCAACAAGGACCAATCAGGTGCCGTGTAACAGTGTTATATGTGCGCGCGTTGCGATTGGTTGTCTTTTTTCCCATTGGAAAATCATACCAGACCGTCCGTTCTTTTTTGTCTGATGTCCTTTCAAATAACTCCTAGATAATTTTTTGTGAAATATGAAGTGTAGTTTATTCCATAATACTGTCTTTTTAAAGTTTGTTCCAGGATTTCCATTGGTATACCATCTGCAGCTATTGTTCCTAATCACCGATTCACTGCGAGTTCATATTATAGCCAGTATTATATACCAAGTAATGCCAGGCTTAGGAAGAACGCAGCCTGGGAACCTGCAAATGGCAAACAACCTGGTTCCTGGCTGCACATAGATCTTGGTTCTGTGGTATTTATTTGTGCTGTTGCAACTCAAGGGAATGGCCATTCTGCTATGGAATATGTCAAGAAATACAAGCTCAGAACGTCAAGTGATAATATTAATTGGAAATATTACCAGGAAAACAATGTAGACAAGGTACAGTGATCAAATGATTGCAGTTACAATAATTATTGTCCCACGCAATTCAATAAATAGTTGGGCAAAAATCAAATGCAATTATAGCTCGCGACATTCCTAACGTAATGTAGTAAATATGGAGTCTGGAAAAAAAAATTCGGATAGGTAATCAAGCGGCAGAGAACCAACATTTTCTCAGTCATCGCTTCATGGTGTGTTTTTGTTTCAGATATTTACAGGAAACACAGACAGAACGACTATCGTAACAAACAGTCTGGCAATTCCAACTAGAGCTAAGTTTATAAGATTTTACCCTGTGGAA